TTTTTTTTTTTCTTAAACAAAAGAAGAAATATAAAGTATAAGAAATTTGAAATAGGCAAATCATAAAGTTGATATTTAATTAATGATTAAATAACAATGTTATTTTAAAAAAATATGTCATCTCATTCTATCATTATGATATAAAGATTTATAGAAAAATAAGGAAAACTGTAATTATTTCAAATCAAATGACTATTGTTTATTTTGGAAAAATATTTGAAAAGATCGTAATATATTGTAAATATTTTAAAAAATATTCAGATTCTAAAATTAAAAAAAAAAAATTTTTTTTTGAAGTTTACTATATATATTAAGTTTACTATATTATAATTTATCATATGTTAATTTTTATTACAAGAATGATTTAAAAATTAATTTAATGTTGTAATCAATTCAAAATATGATTCTAAAATCAATTTTAAAATATAAATTATAAGTAAATATCTACTAAAATAAAAAATAAATTATAAATATATATTATAATATTTTAAAAATATTATAATATTTTTTTTAATTTTTAAAAATATTTTGTTGAAATAATTGCAAAATAAAATTTTATTTTTAATCCATATTTAATAGAAACAATTATTTGTAATAAAAGCATATAATAATATGAAATCATTTTAATTATCTTATAATCAATTTTATTACCAATTTATATAAATATAATCATACATATCATATCAATAAATCAATCTTGTGATAAAAATTAACATATAATAAACTATAATATATATAGTAAACTTCAAAAAAAATTTTTTTTTATCATATATAAAACATAATCTTTATTACTATAAAATAATTTGTAATAGAATTGATGAATTTCTTATTGATAAATTTATATTACATTTAGTTGAAAGTGAAGTTTTAATTCCAATCATTATTAATTTTATAATTTTTATAATTTTATTTTGTATCAGATTATTAATATATTGAAGGTTTTAAAATGGTAAAAAGTTTAATGCTAAGGTCCTAATGTTTCTAAGATATGGGATATATGAAGAAAAAAATATATTGAATTTTAAATTTATTTTATATTTTATCTGTATTATGTTTATAACATATAATATAATATATTATATGTTATCTTGTATTGCATTTAGTTTATTTCATTTGATTAATACTTATTTTCTTTACATTCTGTATAGTAATTGTGTAACTAATAAAATGTGAAAAAAATATTGAAATAAATCTCGAAAATTCTTTATAACATAATATAAATTCTTTATAACATAACATAATATAACATAATATAATATAAAATAATAAAAGAAACTTTAATTACTTAATTTAATTGTAGAAAAGCTATAATATGTAATCTCTGTAGTTTTTGAATATATAATTTGAATATATAATAATATAACTATGAAAGACAAGTTTATTTTATTATTTATTTTATTATTTTATTACATTATTTATAGATTATTGTATGTGCTACTAATATTCATTTATTGCTGATAACATTTTAAATTTCTTTAATAATTTTATGATTATATATTTTATAAATTTATTTTCATTTCAAAAAAATTAATAACCTACAAATATTTGTAATTTTATATATTTATTTATATATTTATATATAATATTAATTAAATTGTCAAGGAAAAAAATTAAATTTAATGCATTTTAATAATTTTAAATTTATATTTTATAATGAGTTTTTATAAATAATTATATAAATAATAAACAATTAATGAATAATTAATGACATAAATTACAATATGTAGAAGCTTGAAAATATAATAGTTATGTACTATTTTCCCATTTTTTTCTTTTTTATAAATATCTCCTGCATATATATTTTGTAACAATAAAATAATTTTTAAATAATAATGAAACTAGAAAAACATCTTTTGTTTATAATAATAATAGGAATTTTTAATTTTCCTTTAATTTTATTTAACTTTTGCTTGTGCAGCAACTGCAGCCATTGCAGCTTTTACAGTTTCTTCATCACCTAAGAATTTCATAGATACAACAGGCTTGAAATTTTCATCTAATTCATAAACAAATGGAATACCAGTTGGTAAATTTAATTTCATAATATCATCGTTGCTCATTTCTGAAAAAAATGTAAGATTAATATTATAATATAATATATAAAAAAAACTTATTGTTTTATAAAAATAAAAACTTACGATCTAAATGTTTAACTATGCCACGCAAACTATTTCCATGAGCAGCTATAATAATTCTTTTTCCTTCTTTTAATTGAGGAATAATAGTATTATTCCAATATGGTAATGTCCTTTCAATTGTTAATTTGAGGGATTCAAATTTAGGAAATTCCTCTGGTTTTGGATCATTTGCATATCTAGGATCCTTTACTATTATTTCATAATATTTATGATCTGGTTCCATAGGTGGAGGAGGTGTATCAAAGGATCTTCTCCAAATTTGAACTTGTTCTTCACCATATTTAGCAGCAGTTTCAGCTTTATTTAAACCAGTCAAACCTCCATAATGACGTTCATTTAATCGCCATGTCTTTTGAACAGTAATGTTTTCTTGTCCTATTTCTTTAAGAATTGCTTTAAGAGTATCTTGAGCTCTTGATAATAATGATGTATGAGCAATATCAAAAGTGAACTTTGCTTCTTTGATTGCTCTTCCTGCTGAAATTGCTTCAATCTTACCTATAATTTTGAATAATTATATTTTATATAATTTCAATATTAATTTATTATAATAAAATAATTTATTATAATAAAATTAATTAATAAATTTATTGTATTAAATAAATTTGTATTTATATACTATATTTTTAATAATTATATAAAATTAGTTATATTTTTGAAAATAATGTTGAATTATATAGATCATACATTTATTCATTTTTTTAATTTTATATATGAGAAGTATAAAATAATTATAATATTAATATTACTTTTATTTATTATATCTACGCATATCAATTTTTAAAATTAAAAAGCGAAGGAAAAGAAACTTAACCATTTCATTATTTGAAATCATATGACCTTTTGCCCTTGAAATTTATTTATGAAAAATTAGTTACCTTTATCAGATAAATGGGAATCATACCATCCACAAAATAAATTCAATTTATTCCATTCACTTTCTCCATGACGTACCATTACAATCGTATATTTGGACATTCTTTTACCAGAGCTAACTCCACGTAAAAACGAAATAAGCACACGATTCGCAAGCACAGATCTCTCTTCAATATTTCTGCACAACTGGTTCAATTGAAAGCCCCCACCACCTATCGTATTTTTTAATTGTACGAGTACTTTATTCAAAATATTAGATAAAAACATTTTAATATATGTTATTTATGATTGTACATATTTATATTATATAAATTAAGAAATTATAATTATTTAAATAATGATGATATACTAATTTAACTAATATATATACAAATGTAGATTTTTTTAATTTTTCTTAGTTGCTTTTTCGGTCAATAAAATATTTCGCGCCATTGTATTAGTTCTCATTTTATTTACATCATATTGATTGTAAAGTATAAAAACACGATCGGTTTAAGTGTTTAGTGCTTAATAATTATTAAAATATGAAATAATTATTTCTGATTGGACTATAGTTTTTATATATTAATGATTAATTATATCATTTAAAAAAAATTATTCTTTTGAAGTGAAATGTAAAATAACCTTTATGAAAATTAAATGTATTAATGTTTTAAATCTAATCTAAAATTATATATTATATACATATATATGAAAATAACAAATAGTTTTTGTCATTGGTTAATAACACGTGTTAATTTATTGAAAGAATGGCATATAATATGGAACTTAATTTAAATCAGAAGGTTGACGATTCTTCTTTGAAATTGGATACAAATTTTTTACAAATCTCATGCAACTGGCAGATCAGCAACAATAAACAGTTTTGTGATACTTTCACAGTGAAATCTTCGTCTCTAGAATTTAAAAAGTAATTTAAATAAATCTAAAATAAATGTAAAAAATAATTTAAATAAATAAATATATATTTATTTAAATTATTTTTGTATTTAAATATAAAACTTAAAAAATTTAAAAATAATATAAATATTCCAATTTATTATAAAATTTTATTATTTATTAAATTATATTTTACAACTACTATAAAATCATTTATTTATTATCTTATTAAAAATATTTAATTTTTATATAATTATATAAAGCAATATTTTCATATTTTTTTAACTGAAATAAATATAAATTTCTTTACAGAACTAATTTTGAAGATATTGTTTCTTTGAATACATGTATATCTTTACAACCAACCGATTCCAACAATGAACCATGTATGTTAGATATAAAATTAACTAATGGTCAAAAAATCTCACAAATTGCAGTAGTTTCTGAAGCTTATGTATTAGAATTTTTCAAACAATTTGGAGAATATGAAACAACAAAGTTTGCAGAATTTATAGATGAATTTGAAGATAATTCAGTTTATTTTGCAGAAACAGCAATTTTTCCACATGCTACAGAAGCTAGCATTAAGGTACAGATAGTATGTACACTAATAGCTAAAATTTTGCAAAGAAATGTATATAATTAAAATTTTTCATTTTAGTTTACAAAAACAAAAAGTAAAAATTCAATTATGTGGATATATGGTATAAAGCTCTATCTAACAGAGTCAATTAATGAAGCTAAAAATTTCTCTACAGAAGTATTTAATCCTGAAATAATAAAAAATTTTTTAAGTAAATTTAATAATGAAGGGAACAATACCACAAATGATGTTCAATCATGTTATATGAATATTTTGAATTCATCAAAAAATAAAAGTGTTCATAAAGATAATGGAAAAGAAATGATACAATCTATAGATAAAAATATTACATCAAATGATATAGATATTGTAACATATATTGATAAGAAATTTGAAGATATAGAGGAAAGATTAATGAAAAGAATTGATGAAATGGAAAAAACAAGTCAAAAACTTGAAACTATTTTAAAACAGTTAGAAACTCAATATAGTGTCAAGTGATCTTCATTTTATATAACTTAAAAGTATATATAAATAATGACAATATGTATTTAATTCTGTATACTATTCTATATATGTAAAAAATTTTGAAAATACTTTTTCTTAGTGTTTTATTGCTAAACATTTCTTAAATACCTATTTACATATTCTAGAAATTTTACATATAATGTAAAATTTTATATATTTTGAGTGCATTAGTTACATTTACTTTTTATTTATCTATTTATATTGCGATTTGACTTTTTAAATACATATAAGAATGTATTATATGTAAGAATATACCAAGAATCATATAATCATTATATTTCATTTTGTTCATTCAATTCTGTTATATCTATCAAATTTTATACAAATGTAAAAATCGTGGAACTATAATGTGCATAGAGATATATTTGCATAATAAAGTTTGAACATAAATTTATTTCAATCAGTATTGCTATCTTGCGGAGGATCCCATTGATGAAGTTGTTTCCTCCACAATCTTACCATACTATCCCATCCTCTTCTACTATATTTAATATACTTTGGAGGTGTTCTTGGATGTTCTCTTGTACGTTTTTCTCTAAAATATATATATAATATAATAGTTCTTAAGAAAATGTATATTATCAATAATATTTTAATTCATAAAATTCTTACTTAGGCACAGCCTGAATATATCTATCATATCCAATAGTATTTTTTCCATAATCTATTTCTTTTTGCCTACGTGCTAATACTCTAGGATCTGTTTCATATTCTACTCGTCTTTTACCACTATCTGAAGAATTTGTAGTAGAACTTGAATCGCTATTACGTCTAATTCGAGAAATTTTTGCATCTTCATTATTTATTTGATTTTCCCTAATACGTTTACGAAAACCATCATCTGGTTTGTTTTTTATATTATCTTCATACTTTATACTGATTGCATTATTTGTTTGATTTTCTATGAATTCAGACATACTATCAATTTCTACATTTGAACTAACACCTTCTTTATTTTCCTGATCATTATGTGTTTTAGATGTACAAGATTTGTTTTCTAATGAATTTTTGCTTTTTAGATCTTCTTTATTTGAGTCTACTATTTTACTCAATTCATTTGAACTCATACAAATGGCTTCATTAAGAAGAGCATCATCTTCTTCTGTTAATTGAGACCACGAAATTTGTGCGTTTAATTCCATTTTAATTCGATTATATAGAAGGTATTTTAACAATCTATGAGAAGAAACTAACATAAATCGAAACCAAGAATTTAATTGAAGAGAAAATACGATAAATAAAAGTATCTTACTTAATAAAAATAACCTAAATAAATATAATAACTTTTATTTTAGAATATAAATTAAAATCATTAATTACGAGTGTCATAAAAAATATAAGAATTTAAAAGGTAATTATATTTTGTGATTTCAAAATATTAAAGTTTCAAGCACTTGAAGAAATTGCACTTAATTTTAAACAAACACATAGAAATTCATTCTCGTAAATGTTATGAATTCTGCAGTACGCGCCTTTTCTGGTAAACTAACGTTTACTTTACACACTTTGAAGAATTATTAAATAAGTTTAATTTAGGTTAAAAGCTTTAAAATTTTTTTTCGCTGATGATCTTTATAGAACATATATATTACAACTATAACAGCAATGATTGTCCAAAATTTCATTTCTTAATGCGTTTTTATAAGTATGGCATCAAAAACTCAATTACATTCCTCTTATTTCAAGATCACTTTTCTTCTTATGAAATTGAATATTATAAGATATCCGCGGCAATTTAGCGCTTTTTGTTTGTCAAGTTTACATCCCCTAACGACCAATTTTAAAATAACAAAAAATATTATCTGTTCAAATTTATAATATTCTTTAATATTTAAAAAATTTTTGAAACTATAACTAATATTTTATAGAGACATTATTATTATTATTATTAAAAAAATTAGAATATACATCATTTATTAATGTATTATATATTTTTAAAAATATATATAATAAATATTTATGTTAATAACAATAAAATAATTAATAATTAACAATTTATTTTATAATAATTGTTTCATTTAATGAATCTTTAAAGAATTATAAAGTTATATGATTATATTTTATATATATATTGATTTAAATTTTTATATGATACAATATAATATACATTATCAAAGAAATTTTGAGCATTTCAATTGATAATACATTACACATCAAACGTATCATATAAAAATCATACGTTTTTTTCTATGTATATTAGTGATTGAGAATTTTTTTTCTGAAACAATAATTAAATTTCTATTTTTTAATTGAGATTAATTTTTAGCATTTTTAAATACAAGTAAAATCTATACATATTAACTATAATCGTATAAAATGTCTTCAAAAATAAGAAAGGTTATATTTTGTTATATTTAAATTTATATTTCATATTTATTTATTTTTGTAGTAATATAGTATACATATATTTGTTATTGTATATATATAGTTGTTATTATTTAATTTTTTCTAAATTAAAACTTCTAAAACTTCGTATTTTTTAATTTATACTTAAGTATATAAATATAAATTTTTTTACATTACATAAATAATATATTACTGTTATTTTTAGGAATCATTAGTATTATTATTAAACATTGGAGTAACAAATCCAAATGTAGAAAATAATTCTTTATTAGTTGAAAAAGCAAAGCATATTGCACAAAGAAAAATTGAAAAAATGGTATTATAAAAATTAAATTTAATCTTATTTATATTAATGTATCCATTAATATTTATTATTTTGTAGATTTTTTTAAAACCTAAAGATGAAGTTGCAATAATGTTGATGGGTTCCTCGATTACAAAAAATCATCTTAACTCAAAATATATAGAAGAATTCACAGATTTTCAGGTTCCAAATTGGGATTTTATAAGAAAATGCATGAATTTAAAAAGTACAAAATATTGTTATAATTGGGTTGAAGCACTTTATGCTGCAGTGGAATTTATAAAACAAAATGTGTATGTTTAAATATATTATATATTTTATATTATTTTATTATAATTTATGTATATTTTAATAGTAATTATGATATATTTCTTATTTTAGTATTGATAATTCTATAAGGAAAATAATTTTGATGTCTGATTTTAATGAAGAAACAAATATTATTTCAAAATTTGAAGCAAAATTAATCGCAAATAAACTCTTTGAAGAAAAAATTCAATTAATCACCATGTAATGAATATATTTTATATAAATTCCTTAATTTCATCTTATGAATTATTAAGCATAATTTAATTTTTTTGTAATTTTTAGAGCAGAAAATCTACTGCATGATAAATCTTTGACTTCTCTTAACAGTAGCAAAAAGCTTTTGAAGGATGTTCATGATCAGGTTTTATATATTTTATTAAATTATTGTATATATTAATTATCATAATAATATTTTATAATATATATTGTCATATATTATCATTATATTTATTTTATTTTTTAGATTAATGGTCAACATATGATATTTGATGATGCTATATCAAGTTTGAAATTTTATGAAGAAACACCAGTAAAACTATTTCCAACTTATTATGATTTACAATTACTTGATAAAAAAATACCAATTGTTAGTTATGTTAAAGTAAGGAGAAATTATACATCAGGAAGATATGCTATATATAATTATTATAGTAAATCATGAAATTTTTATTAGATAGATATAGAAAAATTTCCAACATGGAAAAAAGCAAAAGGTAATCAAAAACTTGAAACAAAAACTGAATATTTGGATGGACAAAGAAATTCTTATGCAAAGGATGAAATTATAAAAGGATATAAATATGGAGGAACTTTTATTCCAGTTGAAAGTATATATTAAATTGTTTATATTGTTTGTTATTGTAAAATGTTATATATATTATTATATATTTTATTTTATTATAGAGGAACTAGAAGATAAGATGAGTTATAAAAGTGGGATGAAAAGCTATAAAATTTACGGTTTTACAGATAGAAATAATATTGATTTGGAACATTTTTATAAAAGTGCAACACATGTTATTTTACCTTCAAGTGAAGAAAGTGTATGTTATATGTCTTATTGTTTCATTTATATTAAATAATTGCGAATTAATATACTTATGTTGATTTTTTAGAGTGTAATAAAACCATTTTATAGTTTGGTACAAGCAATGCATGAAACAAAGTCAGTTGCTATTGTGAGAAAAGTTTTCAGAAATAATAGCACTCCTAGAATGGTTGCATTGTTTCCATGTATTGATATTCCTGATGAACCATGGGTATTATAAAATCTTTTTTTTAATTATATTATTTTTTAATTTTTACTATTATATAAAATAGATTATTTGTATTTATATAGTGCTTAGTAGAAATAGAATTAGCATTTGCAGAAGATCAAAGATTAATAGAATCAAGACCTATGAAATCTATAATTAAACAATTATCGAATGAACAAAATGAAGCTGTAGATAATTTAATAAATTCTCTAATGTTAAATGATATACAGTAAGTATATTTTTTTTTTTTTTGGTATATTGTAATAAGTATATAATTTTGTATTTTCTATAATATTGTATATTTATAATCAGGGATAGTTATGAAGTAGATGGAAATCAATATTTTTTACCTGGATGTGTTCCAAATCCTGCAATACAGCATAGATGGCATATATTATCATATCGTGCCATTAATCCAGATAAACCATTACCACCTATGGAGAATTATTTGAAAAAAATTTTGGAAGCTCCATTAATAAAAGAAAGAAGTAAATCTCATATGCAGAATATTGCACAGCTATTTCGATTAGAAAATATAGATTTAAAGGCCAAAGAAAAGTACGAATTACACATTATGATAAATATGATATATATTTTTATTTAATAAATGTGATATATTTCCAGAAGTGATATAAATGAAGATAACATGCAGATCGATGATAATTCTGATACTAAAGATTGTAATAAAATAGAAGATAAAGTTGATATTGAAAATAATTCTTATAAAGAAGATTCAATTTTGTCTTTGGATACCTCAGATGTT